TCTTCTTTATCCATTCATCTGTTGATGGACATCTTGGCTCTTTCCACAGTTTGGCTATTGTGGACATTGCTGCTATAAACATTGGGGTGCACGTACCCCTTAAGTAGGCAAATTAATTTAAAGCTTGTGATTCAATTAGTTAAAAAATACAAAAAATGACATTATGAGCCTGAGAATGCGCTTCATGGATCTCTAAGCACAGGTTGTGTAATTGACCAAGGGCTTTAGCTGTTGTGTGTGAGATACATTGTTGTGCTTGTGCCCAGGCCCCCTTTCCAGGAGTTGGGGCGAGCCAGGAGCCAGACACCTGGGAGAGTCAGGATTCTTTGATGGCTTGAGGACTCCCCAGTGGCTCTGCTGCATCTTCCTTGCTTGGACTGCACAGCAGTCAGGGATGTTTCTACCCAAACCTTCTTTTGTCTTTCCTTCATTCAGAGGCAGACTCTCTGATGACTCTTCCAGCCACTTCCTGCACTTTCCCTATTTTCCCCCTCATACAGGCATTTTCCTTAATAAAGCCTTGCATGTTCAATCTCATTTTGGCTTCTGACCTGGATTACAAGAATCTAATCCCAGGAGACTTTTTTTTTCTTTTTTCTTTTACTTTTTTAAAAAATTTTATGTATTTATTTGACAGAGAGAGAGACAGCGAGAGAGGGAACACAAGCAGGGGGAGTGGGAGAGGGAGAAGCAGACTTCCCGCAGAGCAAGGAGCCCGATGTGGGGCTCGATCCCAGGACTCTGGGATCATGACCTGAGCTGAAGGCAAATGGTTAATGACTGAGCCATCCAGGCGCACCCCCCGCTTTTTTAAGCTTCATTGATCCATAATCTGGTCATAAGGCAGACCAGACAAGAAAGCGAGTTATGTTCTGTGTAAACACATTCCGCCTCCAGAAAATGGCCAACAGCTCTGCATTGGGGGTTGTACTGGTGTAGCAGCATCTTCCAGGATGAAGGACTAGTTATAAGGAAGGATCTTCTGTTGCCATCCTTACTGTAATATGAACATTGGATTCTTTGTGGGTTAAGCTTTTGAAATCTTTATTATTAGAAATTTTGTTACATGTCACAGTCCAAGAGTTTTATTTTTAAAATATCTTAATTTTTCTGCAATGAGCAAATGGGACATATTTGCCTTTTGGTAAGAAAAACTGAGTAGCTATCACAGAGAGAAGGGTAGTTAAAATGAAAGTTTAGTAAAGGGAACATCACAGGGAGAAATTTGGGAGGAGGGTGATAACAAGTTAACATTCTTTACAGGAGAACATTGTAAATTGCAACTAGAAGCACCAAGGCTGAACCGAAGGGGGAATTTGGCCCTGAGGAGTGGAAAAAGTCATGGATTGATCCATGACATATGATCCAAAACATAACAAATGTGCCTATTGGCTTTGCTTTCACCATGAGGCCCAAGGAGTCTGTCTGATCATCGCCATCGCTTTCTGAGTCTAGCCTCTCATATTTTCATCCAGGATTTTTGAGTGATTCCCTGATAAGCAAAAACAAAAGCAGCTTTTTTGGCGATACCTCAAACCAATGGTTTTTAAATTTAATGTGAACAGGAATCTTTTAGGGAGCTTGTCAAGACTGGAGATTCCAGGGGAGACTCCCATTCAGCAGGTCTGAATTATTACTGCATTTGTATTTAAGAATCTGCACTTCTATAAGCTCCCTGAGATATTCTGATGCAGGTAGTCTGTGGGTCATAGTTTGGAACAAACTATCCTAGTTGGTTTGTCTGGGATATAGACTTGTTTCTGTTTCCTGGTGTATAGAGGCAGAAGAATAAACTTGGATGAGTCTTTCTTAGTCATTCAGACTCTGGAAATGAACTGTTTATGTTTTTAAAAAGATAACACAATATTTGGAAAGCTTTCAAGAGATTAAGCTCTTTCTAAAAATTTCAAGGTTATACATATAATAATAATTTTGTCCTAATGGAGCTATTTTTCCCCACTGATTCGGTACCAACCCGACACTTGTTTCCCAATCTAGTCCACTGTAGGAGTAGGATAATGACCATAGTTACTTCCCTGGGTAGTGGTAATGATGAATGGAGCAAGTCCATTTCAATGGACTTTAAAGAAATAAAGCTTCCACTGACAGAGATTGCCATTACATTGCTCTGGGCTCTTTAGGGACAAATCCAGGCCAAAGTAAAGAACAATGTCCGCACAGACTTTGGAAGAGTAAGAGGAGAAATTTGCCTAAATTTTTAATTCCTGACCTTTTCCCTCTTCAAAAGTCCTTGGGCTGGGTTTAGGGCATAGCTTATCTCCCAAAGCACAGTTCATGGAAAGAATGGCTGTAGTGGGTTGATAAACCAGATGTTTATTCTGTTGCTCAATGTCTATTGACATTGAATTGCTTGTATCTTTTTTAAATTTCAGTTCCAAGAAAATGTGTCTAACAAACTGGTATGCTTCCTTTTATCAAATGACAGAGATTATATATTGTTTCATTTTTTGCCTTGTTTACCTATAATGTTAGAGCTAAATACAAGGCTCAATCATTATAATGCTTTTCATCTACTTGGGACATATACTTCGTCCTCAATGCTTGTTTTTTCAAAATGTCAATGATCATAAATGTTCTTCTATAGGTGTGTTTCATTGTAAATTCCTTCAAATGCTTTTTAGATCTGGTTGGACTATAAACCAAAATATTATGAATAAAATTAATTGATCATATTTGCAAGAAGTGTGCTGTTATCTGTGTTAAGTTCCTCCAAAAGCAACATATATATAATTATAAATAAAATAAACTGTTAATAATTAATTACTTTATCTGCAATAGCTGTTTTGTAAATAAGTATATTCTGGGGAAAGGTTATGATCCACAGTTCCAGAATCAAGCAAAACTGGGTTCCAATCCTGGCTGCCTGGCAAGACCAGCTGTATGGTCTTGGACATGTTACCCAACTGCTCTGAGTCTCAGTTTCATCATCTATAAAATGGGTAGAATAGCCTCATCCATCTCACAGAATTATTGTGAGATTTAAATGAAGTTAATACATACAATGCACTGAGCATAATGTCTGGTCTATGGAAAGTACTGAATGTGTATATAGCTGTTACTGCAGGTTTATTTTTATTTTTACAGCAGTGTTTCTGTCAAAACATAACAAATGTGCCTATTGGCTTTGCTTTCACCATGAGGCCCAAGGAGTCTGTCTTATCATCACCATTGCTTTCTGAGTCTAGCCTCTCATATTTTCATCCAGGATTTTTGAGTGATTCCCTGATAAGCAAATGGATCATGACCTAACACCTGAGAACTTTGTTACCAAATACAGCCCAGGTAGGGAAGATTATCAAGAACATCATGCAAGAGTTTAAATATTTACCCACCATTGAAATTTTCTAATGTTTTAAACCATGGGGCTTGCTTTTCATTCTATGTATTTCTATTTTTTCCACACAACCCTCTTATATGGGGCCTGGCAGCACTATTTAGTCAGTGCTATTTAATTGTCCTTTTGGAGAGTCTGATGAACTTGAGGGAAGGGTGGAGTGGCAAAGAAATTTCATGACACCATTTTAGTGTTTTGACATGGACCTAATTCTGCTAATTCTCTACAACCACCTCTTTCTGTTCCTCTTAACTCTGAAATATAGAAGCTAGATTTCATATTTTTCTTTGCCTTTTTTTTTTAAAGAGGAACTGACTGACACTAAAATCAAAAGCTTTATGCTGACCAATTAGAACCACTGAAGCCGAAAAAAAAGGGCCACAACAATAGCAAGAAGCCCCACGATTTTCAACAGAAAGGAAACTGGGAAATCAGATGAAGCTTTTAGTGTCCGTGTCTTTAAAGGCTTCAGTATCCGTTGTTTCTGGGTGAGGATGGCCCTCTTGGCTCCCTTCCACTGCCCGGGCCCAGTGAGGCGGTACTGGTAGGAGTTGCAGGGTCCGAAATAGAGCTTCACAGCCAGTTTGGGGTTTTTCAGCAAGAGAGACAGGATGTCTGGCTTCGCACCTATCTCTAAGGCGAGCTCGTCCAAGTATTCGATGTAATTGGTCTGCAGTGTCTGGCTCTGGCTCTTTCCAAACCTTAATGAAGAAAGTAAAAAAGGGCAGATTTGCAAAATAGGGATAAGGAGTGAGTAAATGAGGTTTGAATGAATCTCTGGTGGAAGGTATGAGCTTATTCCATCAGAAGGCCCAGATCTTAGATTGAGAGTAGGCTGTAAAATAAATAGCCATGAATTCATGGAAGTTTTAGGAATGTGACAAGGTTTATAACCATGATTATTATTTGATATTTAGTAAGTGGCTTCAATTCTCTAGGCAAATACAAATTAGTCAGGATTGCTGCAAAGATCCATGAGCTAACACAGATGAAAGCCTAGCTCAGTGTCTTGCATAGAGGAGATGCTTCCTATTTGCTTGTTAAATTATTAAAGTAGTTGGCACTCTGGCTGGCATATAATAGGTACTCAATAAATGTTAGATTAATTAGAATTTGACCATGAGACAACCCCTACATGTGATGTCAGGCCCCCAAGTCTACTCTCCAAGGTGCTTGATCACTTTTGAACCCCATTTTACCATATCACAAGGCATACATCTACTTTCACTTCATACCAGCTCCTTCTAATTTCCTTTGATAGGACATCCCCCAACTAACTTTTCAGAGACACCCGGCCACTGTCACTACTGCTGCTCCCAACGCATTTCCTCTCTCGCCACAGAGTGGGCAGCCTGAGAAGATATGGAATCTAACACGGACATCATACAAAACTGAAATAAAATTAAGTCCAGGAAAAATGTCCTGATTTGGTAAAATTTCTATCTTTATGTAGTTGGTTCTTTTTTGTTTTAAAGACTTTATTTATTTATTTGAGAGAGAAAGTGAGAGAAAGCAGGAGCAAGGGGAGGGGTACAGGAAGAAGGAGAAGCAGTCTCCCCGCTGAGCAGGGAGCCCGACATGGGGATCACGACCTGAGCTGAAGGCAGATGCTTAACCAACTGAGCCACCCAGGTGCCCCATGTAGTTGGTTCTTAAACTAGTATGTATAAGAATCACCTAGGGAGAACATAAAAATACAAATTTCCAGTTTCATCCTGGGGTTCCAATTCAGTTGGTCTGGGTTGTGACCCAGGAATTTGCATTTTTAAGAAACAGGCAGGTGGTTCTTGTGGGTAGTTAGGTCACTATACCCTGAGAAACATTGCTTTATGTAAAGAATTAAAAAAAATTTCTTACAAATCTATTCTTTCTTCATTCCTCTTGATAATGTCTGCCATCATAGTCCTCTCTGAGGGCAAGGTACACAAGCCTAGAAATAAAAGGCTGGTTTGAGCAGTGGGTTTGATTCAATATCATTGCTTTATCTAGTAGTTGATTCCTACCATTAAACTTGGCCATTTACCCAAGTTATGCCAATCAGGGCTGCTGTTTTGTTGAACTCCAGGGTGGGATGGGTTCTATGTGAGGCTGCCCTTAAGGTTACAGTGTGAACTCTGAAGTGGAGGGTGTTAAGAGAGAGGCTGGAGTAGGAAGGTGAGCCTGAAGAGCTGGAAATCATGTCAGGTGACTTGAGCTCTATTTTGAAGGTGATGGGAAGCCATGGGAGGGTTTTCTGCAAGTGGTGACAAGATCAGATCTGCCTTTTAGAAAGATCCTTCTAGTTGGCGAATTTTGGGACATGGGCTCTAGGAAAGTGAGTCTAAAGGTACCAAGACCAGTTGAGAGGCTGTTGAAGTAAACCTTGTGGGAGTAAAGTTAATCACTGGGGACAGAGAAGGTAGATTGATGCAGGATTTATCACTGTGTGCTTGTGATTCCATCCTTGTCTATGGGTATTCCCAGACATGGTGAAATGGTCAGTTTCTCCTGGATATAGCTAGTCATCAGACATACCAGAGTCAATGAGTCCAAAACAGAGCCCATCATGGAAGCTCTCCTGGTCAGACTTGCATCTTCTTCCATGTCCTCTCTCTATTCCTGGCCCTGCTGTCTACCCAGTTCCCATGGCCAGAGATCTGCAAGTCATCTGTGATTCCTCTCTCTCTCTGGTTTTCTACATTCAGCTGATCATCATGTCCTGTGGATTTTATCCCTAACTATTTCTCACATTTCTGTTGTGTTCTCCACTTTGTCTCTGCCTGGCTCAGCTACATCATGTTTCAGCAGAGACTTGCTGTGGTCTTCTCACTGGTCTCAGAGACCCCATTCTTTTCTGTTTTCAAATCTGTCTTCCACACTAATGCTGAAATAATCTATTGAAAATGTAAATCTGTAATGTCTATTTCTTTCTTATAACCTTTCATTGGGTCCTCTGCCTGAAGAGCTTTCTTTCTTTCTTTCTTTTTTTTTTGAAGATTTTATTTATTTATTTGACAGAGAGAGACACAGCAAGAGAGGGAACACAAGCAGGGGCAGCAGGAGAGGGAGAAGCAGGCCTCCCACCAAGCAGGGAGCCTGATGCGGGGCTCAAACCCAGGACTCTGGGATCATGACCTGAGCTGAAGGCATACGTCCAATGACTGAGCCACCCAGGCACCCCTGAAGAGCTTTCTAAAATGGAGATTCTAGGTCCTCAGGTCAGACTTAATCAGGGTCCTAAGGATCTAGTTGATTTTTATGTGTGGCCAGATTTGGAAAGAACTGATCTACGTTTTGTATTGTAAGCCTTTTAGCATGACTTACAAGGCTCCTGTGGCCTGGCCCTTCTACTGAGAGATTACTCTTTAATAATCTCTCACCCCTCTCTACGTCACATGTCATGTTCTGGGAATGTCAGATAGCTTGTAATTCTCCATATCCATCATGCCTCTGTGTTTGGCTCAAGTGATTACCTCTTCTGCACCTGAGAAACTTGGTCATCTAGCAAGTTTTCCTTGGCCGCATGCCCTCCTTTATCCCAACATGCTGCAAAGCACCTTTTTTCTTCTTCCCATGCACTCCATGCATCCCTCTACCAAAGCATTTATCTCAGTATGTGGAAATGATCTGTTTAAATTGCTCTCTATCCCACCAGGTTCCAGAACAAAGCTAGGTATTCAATGAATTCTGGTTGACCTGAACCATGGCGTCAGGGAGATAATAGCCTCCTGAGGAATGCAAAGTGCTATACAGGTACTTAGACAGAAACCTTTCAATAACTTTATAACTTTGTAAGGATCCATGAGATTGAGCTTCTTAACATATTAAGAGTTAATTTGAAGTTAATGTAGAGGCCCTGGGTCTCTAGATTTGCACATATTCAGAGGAAATTATAAACATCATATGGGTAAAACCAGGAGTCAGAGGTCTTTCTCTTCTCAACTATTCTTTCATGATTCCAGGAAAAGATAATATGTATTTAGCTTTATGAAAGTTGAAATTCTCTGAACTTTCTAATATTTCAAAGGGATGATTACAGCTCTTTATTATTATTATTATTATCTTATCTCTGTATTTGTTATTTTTCAAATTCTCCACTAACTATTTAGGATGTTAATCTTGTGAGAGCTGCCTAAGGTTGACCAACTTCTTCCTGGCAGCCTCCTTATCTAAACTTGTTCTTGAACAAACTCCATCAGGTATAAAACCCTCAGCCCCTCACTTTCCCACTCACATACCTTTGAAAACCCTGGTTGCCCAACGAGCTTGAAGTTCGGCAGTTGGGAAAATGGAACCTAGGGGCTGGATGAGACCAATGCACGCCAGAGTTGACTTCTCCAGGTGAGGAGGGAACATGTATTTATACAGTGAGACCATCTTATCCTCTACTTTAACAAGTGAATCTTCAAGGAATGGAAAAGAGAAAGTATATCCTGTTGCAAAGACAATAACATCAATATTCTCCTCCACTGTTCCATCTTCAAATATGGCAGAAGTTTCTATGAGCTCTTTCACTCTCGGTTTCACCTTGATGGCTCCGTAGAGTATACAACTTGGAAGATTATCATTTACCACAGGTTCTTTCATAAGATATCTAAAACACCAAAAAGAAAACACTTAGAAGGAATATTTAATGATGTTGAGTGAATCTTGAAACTCCCTTGATATTTTATGGGGTTGGCTTTTCAAATAAAGAGGTTTCTCAAATATCCATAAAACTTTCTATCTTAACTAGTTGGCCTACCCCAAACCGCACTATCTGACTTCATTCTCATGTCACAAATCTCCCCCTCAACAAAGAAGAGAAAACTTGTAGGTGATGTGGGTAAAAGACATTTCAAAAAAGGAGGTTAAACAAATACCAGCACCTATGGTCAATCCCTGGATATTCCAGTCATTTATACCCCATCGATGTTTCCACTATTGTTTTAATTATCTTGCTGCTCCAATTAATCTCTATCTGATCATAAGTAAGAAAGGAAAATTTTGTTAAATCCCCAATAGTTTTGAAAGTTTTATTAAGGAATCAGCATAAAAACTAATGTATAAAATTAAGTTTGGGGATATTTGTTGATCCCAAATATCCATGGAGTCTCTGTATGTGATAGCATGGGTGATAGAGCAAAGTCTGGTTGTATTTATGGAATTCCCCTTTTTGTAGATTTGAGAACCTTTTTTTTCCTTCTAAATAATACATGCCACATGTATCAGATCTCAGAACTGAGTAGTCCCATGGCATTTTGTTGAAAGATTCCAAAGTTCTTCGTTTTTGTATTTTTTTAAAGGGAAGGAGCCTGTTATCAACTAAAGAAAAATAAACATTCATACTGTTTGCTTGTGTTTATAAGATCAGTGATATATAACAGTGAGTTCAGAAGAGATTTATTTTTTGGCAAGGAGATAGTGAGTGTGTTCTCAAAAGCTGCTCATGGGAAGAACCCTTATGGTGTACAGAATTAACAGAGCATGAGTTATCACACGGAGAACTTGGGACACATTTCCCAACACACCCCTCTGAAAGGAAGGCTGTAATCTCTTAAAGCAGCCTTTTCCAATGTTGGACAGCTTTGGGTATTAGGAAATTCTTCCCATGATCCTAGTTCTGCTTTCTAGAGCAGCTCATAATATTTTTTCTTTTTAAAATTTATTTATTTATTTATTTATTTATTAAAAGATTTTATTTATTTATTTGAGAGAGAGAATGAGAGAGAGCGCAAGCACATGAGAGGGGGGAAGGTCAGAGGGAGAAGCAGACTCCCTGCTGAGCAGGGAGCCTGATGCAAGACTCGATCCTGGGACTCCAGGATCATGACCTGAGCCAAAGGCAGTTGCTTAACCAACTGAGCCACCCAGGTGCCCTAAATTTATTTTTTATTCATGTATAATTAATATACAGTGTTATATGAGTTTCAGACATACAACATAATGATTCAAGAATTCTATACATTTCTCAGTGCTCATCTAAGGTAAGTGTACTCTTAATTCCTTTTGTCTATTTCATCCATCCCCCCCGCCCCATCTCCTCTCTGGCAACTGTTCTCTGTATTCAAGAGTCTGGTTTTTTGTTTCTTTTGTGTCTTAAGTTCCACACATGAGTCAAATCATATGGCATTTGTCTTTTCCTGACTGACTTATTTCACCTAGCATTATACCCTCTAGGTCCATCCGTGTTGTTGCAAATGGCAGGATTTCATTCTTTTTATGGCTGAGCAATCCAATTAAAAATGGGCAGAAGCCTGAATAGGTGTTTTTCCAAAGAAGACTTACAGATAGCCAATAGACACATGAAAATAAACTTAACATCACTAATCATCAGGGAAAGACAAATTAAAACCACAATGAGATATCATTTTAAACCTGTCAGAATGGCTAAAACCAAAAACACAAGAAATAACAATTGTTGGTAAGAATGTGGAGAAAAAGGCACCCTAATGCTCTGTTGGTGGGAATGCAAATTGGTGCAGCCACTGTGGGAAACAGTGGGCAGGTTCCTCAAAAACTTAAAAATAGAATTTATATGACCCAGTAGTTCCACTACTGGGTATTTACCCAAAGAAAATGAAAACACTAATTTGAAAAGACATATGCACCCCCATGTTCGTTGTGACATTATTTACAATAGCCAAAATATGGGAGCAACCTAATTGTCCATTGATAGATGAGTGGATACAAAAGATGTGGTGTATATACACAATGGAATTGTACTCAGCCATAAGAAAGTTCATAATATTTCTACTTCATCTTCTTAAGCATTTACTTTTTAAAAGGTATACAGAACAAATTTGGAATTCAAATTCCAGGATGTCTATGATACTCATACTGTTAGGTTGTAGTTTGAAATACCTCATTAGCAATTTGACTATAAAGAGGAGCCTCTGACAACCTTGTTTACCATACCATAAAAAAAGCAAAATAACTCTACTTGTTTTGAGGCTCAAGGCCATAATTTTCATGGTTGAAGCACTGATTCATCTGCCGTTCAATCATCCATTTTTGAACTATTTGTGGCAGGACATTTCGGAGCATGGACCTAAACCGGGTTTGGAACACTATGTCCCAGGGATATCCATCTTCAGAGATACGGCCCATGACCCAGGAACCATGTCTGGTGCTGATAAATACCTGGTAAGCAAAAAGGATGTTGTTTAAATCAGGGCATTGTCCTTTTTGGGAAGAATCTACTGTGTAGATGATATATCACATGTATAGCTCAGAGAAGTAAAAGACTTGCTCTGGATTACATGTTGACCAGTGCAGAGCTGGGAGGTAAACCTTGGCTTCCTGATTTCCAGATTTTTTATGATACCTTACTGTAGTAACCAACCAGTCAACCAACCAACCAACCAATCAACCAACCAGCCAACCAACCAACCAACCAGCCAACCAACCAACCAACCAATTAATGAGTAATGGAGCCTTGGTTATGTGGCTGGGATTTTCCAATATGCCCTTCCTCCTTCCTCCATGGTACAAGAGAAGCAGAGAGCATCATACCTGAGCCGCCTTCTTACTCAGCTCAACGGCAATATCTGAGGCCGAGTTTCCTAGTCCAATCACCAGGATATGTTTCCCTTCAAGTCCCTCTGGGTGCTTGTATTGGCGGCTATGGAAATATTGGCCTTTGAACCTCTCAATACCTTCAGGGAGAAGAAGAGAGAAGTCCATGAATTATGTCAATTTCAATAAGAGTACACTGTCAGATTTTCTTTTCTGGAGTCAATTATTTGTTTTGCCGCCTCACCTCTTAGGGGAGTTACAATGGTAAGGTCAATTGGCAAACTCAAAGCATAAAGTATATGAGAAATGTTAGCTTATGCATCTGGAACAGGACCAAAAGAATTGATTTCAGAGGTTGCAGCTCATGTATTTATTAGAGATTAAACAAATGGTTTTGATGACTAAAGCAGTCAGATGCTGGCTTCCAACTACCCATTATCTTATTTTGGACTGTACAGTAATACTTTAATATCATATAGCACATGTATTCTTTTAAATGTTTTTGAACATATTATGAAGTGCTATTATTGTACTTGTACAATTGTACTAATATAATTCTAATTATATTAGAATAATATTTATTCTCATTTTGTAGAAGCAAACAAAAACTAAAATAAACTGAAAACCAGGCACATAGAAATTGAAGGATGTCTTCCACATTGCAGTATAAGTCAGTAACTTACTGGATAAGCCATTTTGAAGACAAGCTTCTCTGTATCTTTCCCAGGAAAATATGACTTTATTAAATAATTGTCTTTGATGGTGGGTTTCTTGAAAGAACCTTTAGATCATTAATTTTCAAAGTGTGGTCCTTTGACCAGCATTTTTAGCTGGAACCTGGGAACTTGTTGGAAAGGCAAAATCTCAGCTTCATGATACCATATCTACTGAGTTGGAAATGCCAGAGGTGGAGGCTTGCAAGTTGTTTTTAAAAGCCCTTCAGGTAATTCTTTTTGAGAATCAATGCTTTAGGGTAGAAGATCTCACACCTGGCTGCATATTTTTTTTTTAAATTTATTTATTTGAGAGAGAGCATGAGTGGGGGTTGGGGTTTGAGGGAGGCGCAGAAGGAGAGAGAGTGAGATTTTCAGGCAGGCTCTTCACTGAGCATAGAGCCCCAGTCGGGATTTGGGGGGAGGGGGCTTGACCTCACAACCCCGAGATCATGACCTGAGCTGAAACCAAGAGTCAGAGGCTTAACCAACTCTGTCATCCAGGTGTCCCTTACCTGGCTGCATATTAAAATCACTTGAGTAACCCTTAAATGATCTAAGCCTACCATATACTAATTGAACTTTGGAGGTCATAAGGATGTTAGAAGCTCAACAGATGGTTTGAATGTGAGGCCTGGACTGTGAACCACTGTATTAGATGTTTCCCTGAGGGCCTTCAGAAGGAAGTACGCTCTCTGAGAGAAGGGTCTGGGAGGTACCAGGACAGATGGTTGTGGGGTTCCCTTGTTTGCACTCCTCTCCTTCTCTCTGTCCCGTAGGAGCACTTATTTCAAGGGAATCTCCTCAATAACCCATCTGTAAGCATGGCTCTGAGGAAAAGTCTCCAAGGACATAAAAAAGTCACGGTGTTTGGCAGGATAGATAAAGGCCAAGGTAGGCACATGGCTATAAGGACCTCTCCAACAGAGAACCAATTTGGGTGAAAATTCTCTGAAGTTCTGGGGAAGATGTAGTGACTTTGGAGGAACTTGCTGAAGTCCTTGTGTCATGAAGACCCAAAGAGGTCAACAGAAACAAAGATGGTATGTGGAGACTTTCATCCTTCTAGCTCTATCCAGATCTTAATATTATGCCCAGTTGCAGTAGCTAATTCTGCTTGTCAATCCAACCTCCATAAAAAATACCTGGACACTGTAGGGGAGCAAAATTTGTCACCTCAAAATGTGTCTCTTTGGCATGTGGATTATTTTAGGTTAATAATTTTTAAGAAACAGAAGGCTTAGAAAAACTTTGACTTTCCCCCCAACTGCCTAAAAGAATTTAGAGGATCTGCTCTAGGAAGGGAGCTGTCACCATAGACAACTACAGTATAGTAGAATTAGATGAGGTAGACAGGGAGGAACGTAGCAGTCCGTTAAAATTCGTTTCTGTGTCCCACTGTTTCTGAGTGGTCCAGGGAACATTAGTTTACCAAACATTTATCCTTTTTCATCTTCCTGTGAATTGTCATCCTTCCCTTTGTAGTCCCCAGCCCCTGCATCCTTCTTTTCAGCTCAGAATGGCACATAAGCCGCAATTACCTGACTGCCTGTAGGCTTCATATCCTTATGGAATCTCTCCATAAGAATGCATGATTGCATTTTATTTTTTTCTTATTAATTTGTCTCATGTCAATTTAATTCTTAGACTAAGCCCAAAGAATGTTGAAAGGTAAGGGAAAATTTTTCCTTCCCAAAAACACCCTCTCTGTAAAGCTGGGAATCTCCACAGGCCTCACCTGGAAATGACTCCAGTGGGATGTGAGGGAGGATGTGATGGCCGCTGCAAACCATAACTGCGTCAAAGACAGCACTTTGCTTCTTGCTGTTGCTCTCAGTAACAACCTCCCATTGGCCAGAAGATGAGAAATCCGTGTGTTTTTTCACACTGAGGACAGTTGTCTTGAACAAACACAGAGAAGGCATAACTGAACATTACTCTGGCATAACAGGGGCTTCACACAGTACCCTGGGAGTGGGAATAGGTAGAATGTAAGGTGTGACTCCATTTAGGTTCATATGAATCCAGTTCAAACCGCTTAGAGCAAAGACTGCTAAGTGTCCCCTCTCATTCTTCTTTGGTGGGGAGCTACCAAGGATATGGTACTTTGTGCAAGACTCAGCCATGGGAACCAGTCTGTTAAAGACTGAATAAGGACTCAAGAGAGAGACATAAAAGAAACACAAAATCTGGGCAAGATATAGAACACATGTCCATCATTCAAATGATCACACAGTCAGTATTTATTAAGAATCTTTTATGTGTCCACTTCTGTGCAGACTCTGTATTAGAGAAGGTATTTCATGTGAAGCACTTTGCATCATGTCTGGCACATTGTCAGCATCCTATGAATGGTAGGTGTTCATATTATTATTTTTCAGAGTACATCATGTTAGCAATATAGTTCATGATCTCATTTGGATGAAATAATTTATGTTCATTAATTTTTTTTTATGTAGCTCACTGTCTGGAGGGCTATGAATTTTTAAAAGTATCCATAAATGTTTTACATCTTTGATGTTTAAGAAACAATGTCAAGTGGAAGCAAAGTTTTTCTCACTTCTAGAGTAATGGCATGTTTCTCTTGCTTATAAGTATTTGAGTCCCATATATATGCTTTTCAAATTTTCAGATATTTAAAAAAATACTGGTTTGGCAATTTTTGAAGTTGTTTCAATTAAAAAAATAAATACAGACCATTAACATAAAGCTTGCAAAGGACTACAAAATGTCTGGGCAATTTTGGCTGAGATTAAAGATTTCGGATTTGCAGTTTAGGGTAGTAGATTAGCTAACGTACTGTGGATTACTGCTATTCAAAATATGGTTTGAGAGCCAACACCTTCAGTATTCACTCAGGAGTTTATTAGAAATGCAACAGAGCCTTTTACAGCCTAACGTCTTATGGCTTATTCCAACTCAGAGACCAATAATGGAAATGAGTGTCCCTAACCCCTCTCTAACCTCCAGGAAACTGAACAGCAGTAATACAATACATAAGAGAAATAGCTCTCTTACAACTTTAACCTGATCTTTCAAAGAACAGATAATAAAAAGTACATACCATAAGAGGGCAGTATATCTGTTAAATAAATTGATAATCGAATAGACAAAGACCTATAAAAGCTTCTGGTATAAAAAGATCTGTTATTCATAAGATGGATCCACCAGGAGATGGGTAATAGTTTTCTAATGTAGTACATTAGATACATTTTAATGGCATTTAAAAATATAGATTTCCACCACAATCAGCTATTATAAATTAATATAATACAAACCTGGAACAAAGCTGAAATTACTGAGAAAATGAGCAGTGTTACAAAACAATTAGTTCACTGAAAGACCTAAATGTGAAATAGGAATCCATCAAAATCCTAGAAGAGAACACAGACAGCAACCTCATTGATCTTGGCCACAGCAACTTCTTGCTAGACACATCTCCAGAGGCAAGGGAAACAAAAGCAAAAATGAACTATTAGGACTTCATCAGGATAAAAAGCTTTTATACAGCAAAGGAAATAATCAACAAAACTAAAAGGCAACCCATAGAATGGGAGAAGATATTCGCAAATGACACATCAGATAAAGGGTTAGTATCCAAAATCAATAAAGAGCTTATCAAACTCAACACCCCGAACCCAAAAACTCCAGTCAAGAAATGGTCAGAAGACATGAACAGACATTTCTCTAAGAAGACACACAAATGGCTAACAGACACATGAAAAAAATGCTCAACATCACTCGGTATTGGGGAAATAAAAATCAAAACCACAGTGAGATACCACCTCACAGGGGTCAGAATGGATAAAATTAACAACTCAAGAAACAACAAATGTTAGTGAGGAGGTGGAGAAAGGGAAACCCTCTTACACTGTTGGTGGAAATGCAAGCTGGTGCAGCCACTCTGGAAAACAGTATGGAGGTTCCTCAAAAAGTTAAAAATAGAACTACCCTATGACCCAGGAATTGCACTACTAGGTATTTACCCAAAGGATACAAACATAGTGATTTGAAGTGGCACATTCACCCCAATGTTTATAGCAGCAATGTCCACAATAGCCAAACTGTGGAAAGAGCCCAGATGTCCATTGACAGATGAAAGGATAAAGAAGATGTAGTTATGTACATACAATGGAATATTACTCAGCCATCAAAAAAGAATGAAATCTTGCCATTTGCAGTGATGTGGATGGAACGAGAGCATATTATGCTAAGTGAAATAAATCAGTCAGAGAAAGACAAATACCGTATGATTTCATTCATATGTGGAATTTAAGAAACCAAACTGATGAACATCGAGGAAGGGAAGGAAAAATAAAATAAGATAAAAACAGACAGGGAGACAAACCATAAGATACTCTTAACCATAGCGAACAAACAGTTGCTGGAGGGGAGGTAGGTGGGGACATGGGGTAATTGGGTGATGGGAATTAAGGAGGGCACTTGATATAATGAGCACTGGATGTTATATGCAACAGATGAATCACTAAATTCTACCCCTGAACTAAATTGAATTTAAATTAAAAAAAATAAAAAAATTTAGCTTGCTAACATTTATTCAGAGATATAATTTAATTTTATTTACTAAGCACAGTTACTAGTTTTCAGAGTGTAGGTTATTGATAAAAATTCAGCATATTTAGTGAGAATATTGTTTTCTTGTTGATTATTTGTTTTTGAGGTAACACAGGAAAGGTAGTTATAATTGTATTTCAAAATGATCCTGCCATCCTTATGTTGCTAGAGAATGCACCATGCCCACTCCCCACCCCCAAATACCAAAAATAGTTTCTATAGGCTTATGAAATGAATGGAGAACTGTGAGCTTATTTAGTACATTTTTTTCTTAGAAATTCCATTTCTACAGAGAAGATCAGAAAATGAAATAGTAGTTTGATTTTTTTCTTCTGTCCTTTCAAGGGAAATGAGGCTAGGAGTCTGCAGTGGTTATAGATACTAGCTTAATTGTAGTTTCATCAATATCATCATTATTCAAACTCTTAGTTTTAACATTTTCCTCTTTGCTAATGTGTACATAATCTTTAATATCATTACCTTTTAGGTCTTCTATCATGCTCTTATCTTCCAGGAAAGAATTGGAATGGAACACTTGGTTTTATTCACAAATTCTTTTATTACCAGAGTAACTTCTCTATTTAAATGTGAGCTGAAACCATGTAGAGAAAACCATTCTCCCCAAAATACAATACCTGGAACTGAATATATTTTAGAAGATCAAACTTTCTGGCAAAAATTCTGAAATATTCCAGGAGCTTAGAATTGTGCAGGAAGTTTGGAAAGTCTTCAGGCATTGGAAAGTCACTGAAACAAGACATTTCTTTGCTGGTGTTGGTGATGACAGATTGATAGATACTTGCTTGGCCATCTTCAACATTTTCCTGAAGAATCAAATAAAAAAGAATGATAATCATGTTGCATTTATAACAATCCCTTAGTGTTTTACACTTCTTCCAAATCTAACCCTTGGGAGATGTGATTCTCTTTCATTATTGTAGAATGGTGGCAGTGTCTGGGTGATGGGGTATAACATCATCATCCCATGAGATAGGGCCCAGTTAGGGCCCTCCAGTGTTGTTCCCTGGAGGGGTTATTACCATTGGTGGGAATGGGAGTGGGTACAATCCTCCTTTTGGCACATTGCAGGATATTTAGCATCCCAGATCTCTACCTATTTAATGCCAGCCATTGTAACAATTAGACCCATTCCAAAAATCCGCCTGGGGAGACTATACCCACCTTCCTTTAGGAACCAATAAATTCTGGGGCACTGGTCAGAAAACATAATGGAGAATTTCAATTAGAATGAATACTTCTGGGGCACCTGTGTGGCTCAGTCATTTTAGCCTCTACATTTGGCTTAGGTCATGATCTCAGGATCCTGGGATTGAGCCCTGTCGGGTTCCCTGCTCAGTGGGGAGTCTGCTTCTCCTTCTGCCTCCTCCCCCCGCCGCTCATGCTCATGCTCATGCTCATGCTCTGTCTCTCTCTCTCTCTAATAAATAAATAAAATCTTTTAAAAAAATGAATACTTCTGGGGACAGGTAGTTTTCACATCTTAATTTGAATGCCCTACCTTCATTTTATGCTTTATGCAAGTCAACCTTCCTCAAGTGATAAAAGTGAACAGCATTAGTACCAATCAGATTTTAAACTTGAATATAAATGTTGGTGAGTATGCTTTGGTAAAACTGGAGGTAGCTCATAATATGGTTGAGTTTATAATTTCCTCTAAGCACACTGAAATCAGCAGGTTATCAAAGAGGCTTGCATAAGAAAATTAAAATAATGTCACCCAAGAAGTCCTCAATAAATGCTTCTAAGCAATTTGAGGCTAGTGTTTGAAAATTAAAATACCATGATTTATTCATCCAGAGTTCAGGGTCATTGTATCCTTGTGTATGAGAGGGAAACCCCTTCATATTCTAACGCAAACTCCCTTAGCATTCAAACACTTACACACAGTTAACATCACACTGAATTCTAATCACATAGAAAGTTGGCTGACCCTGATCTCAAAGACTTAAAAAAGAGTAAACCATGGGATCTCACCTCTTTTATCAGCAAAGCTTTTTATATGCATGGGCCTCACTATGTCCTAAGTTCAAGATTATTAGTACCAATATGAGGTACCAAAGCTAAAACAATGTTTGTACTCAGATTGTGTCATTTAAGAACAGTATGTAGAATACTTGCTAAATAAGTTTTTGTTTATAAGGATTCTTCTGAAACTGTAACAACAGTATCATCGGAGCCTTGATTCTGGACTAGGAAAGTTAAAGGCATTGCTCCTGTTCATGTTCAAAAGGCCTCATCTTAGCCTATGGTAGGCGTGGATGAATGAATGGATGAGTGAATGAATGAGAAAGAGATAGAAGGAAAGTGGAAGGCAGGAGCTTCAAATTGCATAATACTAGAGTCATACTGATATGTAAACTATTTCTGGATGTTTCAACATGGTCGAATACAATGTCCTTGGTAAGACTAAGTGCCTGACTTTCCTATCCAACCAAATTCTCAAACTTGGAAATACAGTTGACCCTCAAACAACATGGGTTTGAACTGCGTGGGTCCACTTATACTTGGGTGTTTTACAGTATTTAGGATTTTCTAATAACATTTCTTTTCTCTAGCTTGCTTTAGTGTAAGAATACAGTATATAATACACATAACATACAAGGTGTGTGTTAATCGACTGTTTATGTTATCGGTAGGGCTTCTGGTCAACAGTAGGCTATTGTAGTTATGTTCTGGGGGAGCCAAAAGTTATACATAGATTTTCAACTGTGTGGGGTTCAGCGCCCCAACCCCTGTGATGTTCAAGGGTCAACTGTATTTCATGAGGCAAAGAAATACCAATTTTTTTCCTCAAGACCAGGTAATTTTATAAGTAGTACAGAGTAGAGTTAAACGTGAGAGCCCTGGTGTCAGATGGGGTTTAAATCCTGATTCTACCACCCTTAATGGCTTTATAGCCATGGGCAAGTCACTTAAGTCAACTTCCTCAGTTTCTCCTGTAAAATGGGATTTATTAATAATTACAACATTGAGCAATTGTTATTAGGCTGAGATTAGACAAAGTGCTTAGCACAAAGCCTGACTTTAAATAAGTGCTCAACACATGTTTGCCTCTGTTGCTAGGATTATAGGTCATGAGGGTTAATCTTACTAAACCAGTCATAGATTTGGAATAGCTAAACTAAGATTGTTGTACTATAGCCAACATGTTAGTATTTTCAAGCACCAATAAAGTGGCTTTGAAATGTGGTTGGCTTCTCTGTCAGTCACTTTTAAGGGCACTTGGAGTGATGAGAAGAAGATGGTTCTGATGTCTGAGCTCCTATAGTAATTTCAGAGTCTGGGCAAGACTCTCCTATGGGAGTTGTACTGGTGTAGTTTGTCAATAATTGATGGTGACACCACAAATTTCTTTCCTGAAGATCATGTAATAATCTTAATTATGGTTGATTGGTATACAGCTGTTGAAAAAAAGCTTTATTTCTATATGTATTTCTTCCTATGTTGGCTGAAGCAGATGTCCATGTGTTTAAATCTGGGTAAAACTGGGGTTTGCTGAGGGTAATAAAGGGAGAATGAAACTTATTAATAAACAAATACATATCAATCATCTCTCCTGTCCAGGCCCTGAGCTTGGAGTTAGGGACAAGAATGCAAACAGGACACACAGTTTCTATCTCTAGGGAGCTTATTACTACATTGAATAAAAATGCACTTGGACTTTTAGGATGTAAAGGTGGAGACAGAATAAGATGACAAGCCAAAAAGAGGAAGACACAGCTTTCAAAATAGATAAATGTAACTCACATACATAATTTAAAATATAAGCAGTGCCAGGGGTGTCTGGGTGGCTCAGTATCTGACTCTTTTTTTTTAAGTGTCTGACTCTCGGTTTCAGCTCAGGTCTTGATCTCAGGGTCTTGAGTTCAAGCCCCACCTTGGGCTCCACACCCAGTGTGGAGCCAACTTTAAAAATATACATTTATGGGCTCCTGGGTGGCTCAGTCGTTAAGTGTCTGCTTTCAGCTCAGGTCATGAACCTAGAGTCCTGGGATCGAGCCCTGCATCGGGTCTCCCTGCTCGGTGGGAAGCCTGCTTCTCCCTCTCCCACTCCCCCTGCTTGTGTTCCCTCTCTCGCTGTGTCTCTTTCTGTCAGATAAATTGATAAAATCTTTAAAAAAAATACATTTAAGCACAAATACTGATAGTCTGAATTTCCTAGCAGACAGAATATGCTACAATTTATCTGTTTAAACTAAATGATCATATGATAAAGTGTTTTCCTAATACAGAATTTTCTGAATATCAGAGGACTATGTAGCAAAATCAAGTTAGTTCAGACAGCACTGATTTAGAATTTACGATCTTTTGATCAAAGGTTGGACTGAAGTTTATCTTTGACTCTATAAAAATAAAAAGGTTGTAAAGACTAATCTAAGTTTAAGAAAGATTATAAGGGTGGGGCGCCTGAGTGGCTCAGTTGTTAGGCGTCTGCCTTCCTCTCATGTCATGATCCCAGGGTCATGGGATCGAACCCTGCATTGGGCTCCCTGCTTGGCAGGAAGCCTGCTTCTCCATCTCCCACTCCCCCTGTTTGTGTTCTCTCTCTCTCTGTGTCTCTCTCTGTCAAATAAGTGAATAAAATCTTAAAAAAAAGAGAAAGATTACATGGGTAATATTTAATCTACTAGAGGGAGCAAGGTTATATAGCAAAAATAGATTACCTTACTACAAATGTGAATTATAAAAATTTACTAATTAGTCATTTTCATTGTGAAGCATTATTATATTGACCTCTACCAATCAATATTTTGTTCACATGGCTAGTTAATATAAGCAGTTGGAAGTAATAAAATTGTATTTCTTTAAAAATATTCTATCATTCCAAATTTTTACTCTTTCAGGTGGACCTTATATCTATCTGCTCCATTGTTTGAAGTGAGTAAGACAAACTATTTTTATGTTCTTGTCCTACAGTTTGGGATAAACTTGTGGTTCCCAAATGCCATTCAGGGGACGAGTTGCATTATAAGAATTCAGGGAAGCTTTGAAAAAAATATAAAGTCCAAGTAGGTCTGGTTTGGGTCCAGACATCTGTATTTTAGAAGTGCTCCCCTGCTGATTCTTATGCATATGAACTGGGGAACCACCACATTTATTAGACCATCACTGCACTCTGCTCTCTCTCCATTAGGCTGGTATCTCTAGATCTCTGGCTTTGATTGTCAATAGTGACCCCCAGTTAAACTCCCTGACCCCAATATTGCCCACTTTCTTTACTGCCTTCAGGGTAAAGAGTATACTCCTTGGCATGGGACACACATTTCTCATGATGAGACCCTGGCTATCTTCTCTAGCCCCATCAGTTACCACCCACCGGTCTGCATCCTTCATTCTAGCTGTATCACGTGACTTTATCTTCTCTAAGTGTGTCAGGCTTCTCGAGCTTCTGTATTTTTGCACATGCCACTCGCTCTGCCTAGAACACTTTTTCTCCATATTCACAGGCCTGATCTCTGCTTATTGTCAAGACAAATGAAAGCATTACACCTTCTAGGAAGCTTGCCCTGTTCTGTACTGCATGAAATTCTGTGCTTACCATAACACTTAGTATAAGAGCCCTTATAAAATTGACTCTGATGTGGATTTTCTTTAGTATTTCCTCTCCTGAACTATAAGCCCTGAGACTGTGGGACTGTTGTGCATTTTTAGTACTGTGAAAATTAGCAACAGAAAACCTCACTAAAATGGAGTTGGGAGGTTTTGGCCCCAACACTTCTTGTCAGTTGCAGACCCAGCAGGAAGAGATGGGCTTGACCTTGCACATGGATAATACTCTACTCTTCCATCTGGAGGAAGAGAT